TGCGCACTCCGGCAGGTCGCAGCGGGCGGCACCGAAGTCCAGCAGCTTGGCTTCAGTCACCGCCGGGACCGTCACCCTGAAGCCGTCGGGGCTCCACCTCCTTCCAGGCTCGTGCTGATGCCGACGTTCTCGAGCTTGACATCAAGATGGAAGAGTCCTCTGATTGACAAAGACACACAATGCCATAATGTGTGTCGGGTAGTGTGTGTCGGGTGGTGCGGGTATTTGGGTGGCCTACAGCCGGTGCATGTGCGATGTGCCGCACAGGACGCTGCAGCTGATTATGATGACCTCATCCATGCCTATGGGCACCCCCAGACGCAGCCTGAACGCCACACCACACCACCACACAAAGATAGCTGTGTGTGTGTGCGTGTGTCTGTGTGGGTGGCGGGGGGGGGTTATGTGTTGGTACCTGTCTTCGAGGAAGCGGAGGAGGTCTTTGCCGAGCACGAACTCGCCAATGAGGAAGGCGTGGTCTGCTTTCCAGGCCATGGCGTAGGAGTGAGCGGTCCATGGAGACATGGACCGCCGCTGGGCAGTGAACTCCTCCTTCGCCTACTCACACACACACATACACACACACACACACACACACACTTACACACTGTATGTAAGCTTGCGTGGCTCGCCCCCCGTGCAGCCAGTCAGTGGGTACCTCACTCACCCGTTGGATGAGGTATGGTGTGTGGTTCAGGTACTGAGCCTTGCTGAGCAGCTTGACCACAACCACGTCGCAGCAGTCATGCCACACCTCGTCGACGGCCACCTCCGTGCCGTCGACACTCCACTTTGTCTCCTGCGGAGTGCTGACGCCAACATTCTCAGTCTTCGACAAAGACACACAATGCCATGTTGAGTGTCGGATTGCGTCAGGATTTGAGTGGCCTACAGGGTGCGGTACATGTGCTGTCTTGCGCACAGGACGCTGAAGTGGATCGTCGTGACCTCCTCCATGTCCAGTGGCCCACCAAGGCGCAACCTGAACACCGCACAACAGACAGATAGCTGTGGGGGGGAGGGGGGGGGGTATGTGATGTGTGTGAAGGGAGTCATTGATATCCTTGTCGAGGACGAACTCAACAACGAGGAAGGCATGGTCCTTATTGTGGTCCAACGCGTTCGCATGCGAAGTCCACGGACACGGGCCCGTCGCTGTGTCGTCAACTCCTCCTTCGCCTACTCACATACACATACACACATGTACGTCTCATTCGGACGATAGAGGCTGGTGATTAGGGAGTATGAGTAGCTTACCGATCAAGCAAAATGCCGTGGGTTGTGCAATGGTCGCGGCGATAGGATGAGACATGCGAATATAAGATGTAGGCGGCGATGTATAGGCTGAGACACACCCCCAAAACAATCGGCAGGAAAATATCAGAACGTGTCTCGCGTACTTGTGAGTGTAGTCGCTCAGCGGACCTACCGATAATGCGCCGGTCACTGGCTGTGCTCTTCAGGTGGTTGCGGCGAGGAATGGGACATGCGAATATAAAATGTAGGCGGCGATTCGTGGGCTGAGACACACATCCAAAACGATCGGCGGGAGTGCTGCTGCCCCTGCTGGTGTCTAGGAGGGACCTCTGCTGGTGTCTGGAAAGCGGGCGGAGGCAGGGAGATTTCGCCATAGTTGGGCTCGACGGTGAGCCAGTGCAGGGCTCCCTGCTGGCCGGGGAGTCGGGACTGCTGCTCGAGGAAGTTGATACACATGTGATGCAGCGCAGCGTCCTCCGACGATCGCTGGTCGCACGCACGATGGAAAATCTCACACAACACCTGAACACACACATACACACACACCCGATGAACACACGTTTGCAGGCACCCGCTCACCCATTCACCTACCTTGTCGGGCGTCGGACGATTGGCGGGATTGACCTGCAGGAGGCGTCGCGCGAACCCCATGAGGGCCCTGAACGCCGGCAGCTCAGCTACCTCCTTGCACTGCGTCATCACCGTCTGGATCTCCTTATCCACCACGGACTGGATGTACTGGTCCGACAGCTCCCGATGCATGGAGAGGTGGTCGTCCAAGTCCAACCCCAACAATTGATTCTGACGGACCACACACACACACACACACATACATCCATGCGCACACAGAGAGGTGAGGTGTGGCGGTCTGCGTTTGGTATGGCGTGCACATGCGTACCAAGTTGAATCGACCGAGTTCTATGAGGTCTGGTCTGTCGTCGATGAACTTGGTCCACGCGAGGAGGTCCAGGAGGGTGAACCCGAGGGCCCACGCGTCGCCCTTGGCCGGCAGCTCTGCCCCGGTCCGCGACTCGGGCGCCATCATGCCTGGGATGCCACAGATGAGTGGATTCTTGCTGCACAGACACAGACAGAGGGAACGGGTGAGTGTGTGTGTGTGTGTGGGGTTGTGGTCATGTGTGGTTGTGCGAATCACACTCACTTGAGCTTGTCACATTTGGACCCGCCGTAGTCGATGATCTTGGCGCCCGCCACACGCGGATAACGTACGGCCCTGCCGTCCTGGTCGGGCTTGGTGTCCATCGCCTCTTCGATGAGTAGGTTCTCGGCCTTGAAATCGCGGTGGTAGCTAGAGCTGAGAGACGCAGACACAAACAATGTGACGTGTGTGGTGTGGCGGGTGTGTATGTGTCTATGTGTTTGTCTTGCGTACTGGTTGCGATGCATGTTGTCTAAGGCGAAGGCGCTGCTAAGGAACACATCGAAACACTCCTGCACGGCCAGTGGGCACCACAGGGCCAGCCTGGGAGCACACCCAAACAACACACACACACACAAGACACACGCACAGACATATGTCACGTGTGTGTATGGGTCTGTCTGTATGTGCGCACCTCCGCTTGATGAAGAGCCCGAGATGTTGTCCCATCACGTAGTCCATCACTATGAAGGCGTGTGTGTTGGTGGGGTACATCTGGTGGGCTGTCGGGGTCCACGGGCTCCTCACCCACCTCATGACGGTGTACTCGTTGCGAGCCTGACAAACATGAACCGACAGACGGATGTGTACCCCGCTTCCACACCCATGCAATGCAGTCGCTGACCCGCTGGGTCAGGTAGGCGATGGAGTCCTCGTACGTTTCTTTCGCCAGTGCCTTCACAGCCACGACCGGGAGGTTCTTCCACGGCACTGTCGACGACGGGGCGTCGGGTCGTCTTACGAACAACTGCAGGAAGCCGTAGCCGCCCTCACCGAGGACCTTCTGCAACACCACACACCGCAGACGGTCACGCATTGCACGTGTTGAGTTCATGACAGTGAACGTGTTGGCTGACGCGCTTACAGCAGGGGTGTGCGTCGCGAGGAGCGTCGGTGGCTACTGGATGCCAGTCGCGGGCCTCTCAGCCAGCGGGTGGGTGCGAGCCTCACAGGGAAGACGAGGGAGGCGAACGGAGGGGCGGAGAGAGGCTTTCGGGACTGTAAGTAGCCATCCGATATGTGTTTGTCCTGTCACGATGAAGAAATTTGGGTTGCCGTCTCCGATCTCGACGTTGCGATCTTGCAGACAATTGGGACCGCCTTTTCTCTTGCAGGAAGGGCCTCCAGCAGCTGGCGACAGATGGACCGGCTGGGCGTACTGCCGTTTCCTGCAACAGTTGGGCCGCCCTGATGCGCGCAATGCCCGTGTGCCCGTCCGCCGCCCATATGTGGCCCAGCACCCTGATTCAACACATGGATGCACACACGCGTGGACTTCCTTCGTGTAGCTCTTGCTTACCGTGCTTCATTGACGACGCTGACGAGCTTCTGTTCCCCTCATCTGCCGCCATCCCACTCGCTGTCGAAAATGAACTGAGACAACGGCGTGAGATGGACTCCCTGGTGGAGAGAGATGCAACACATCATGCAAGAGACGAATGCCATTGCTTGCTGTAGCCTTCGCGTCTTCGGGCTGGATGGAGGGAGCCCCGGAGAAAAGATGGACAGGGAAGAGCGACTGTTGTGCAAATGGAGTCGTACAGGGGCGGAGGGAGGGATTCACGACAACGATACGTGTTTTTCCCTCTCGGATGAATTTTGAGGCGTCTCCGCTTTTTCTCGACGATCCAATCTCCCTTTGGGACAGAACAATTGGGACCACAGAAAGCTGAAACGGCGCCCCTCCCTCCGTGATGGCATCCCCTCAGCCCCAGGAGGTGTATGTCCAACAATAGGCACCGCCCGTCGTTCAGCCTCAGGCGGTGTATGGCCAGCCACAGGGACAGCTCGTCGTCCAACAGCTTTCCCCCGCCACAGTGTTGGGAGCTTGTCGTTCATGACGTCTGCCTATTCTTGACCCATTCCTCTGTCTGGTCATTGCCGATTTCCTCTACAGGTGGTGACCATCATTGGGTCCAGCAGCCCACCTTGTGTGGTGTTTGCCTCGCCGTTTGGTGTTTTCCTTGGGGTAGGTAGCAACACTCACCGGAATGAATGGGTGTGTCGCAATCTGCAGGAATACTCTGCTGTATGCTGATGATGGAGTACCGCTGCAGCAAATGTGGACAATTCCAGCCTGAGAATTCTCCCCAAAATTGATGTGAAAACTGTGGCGGACACAATCGAGGCTTTTACTTATCCGTAGACAAATAGTGTTGACACGGGTGCATGTACGAAGTGACATGTGATTGTGTTGTGTCAGTATGCCAGGCCGAGGACACATCACTCTTAGTCTCTTGTCTGCCTGATTACTCTGACTCCTTTCGGTCTGGCTTCGTGCACACACAGACCGGAGGGCCCCATGCATGGCCAGCCTGACAGACACGAAGAATTGGGATGAAAAATCCTCGTAGGCGCTGCTGATGTGTTCGCTTACAGCGTTGGTCGCACCCAGCCTGATGGCATAAAAGCTGTTCTCTGTCAGCTGCCCAAATCGCAAAGTCGCCCCCCTCATCGCATCCATCGAGTCACTGAGGTCAATCGGCCGCTCAGACAGCAGCCCCCCCGTGTCTCTGGCCGTCGCAGCATCCAGCTTCTCTACCAGCAGCTTGGTCGACGGGACCACCATGCCGTCTCGTGTGGAGTCGCCGCGCTGTGGGCTGCGGTTCCTTATCCAGTCGTCACAATCGAGGATCTGGTTGCGGACATCAGGATGGAGCGAGACATGGATGTGTGGATGTGAGGTCTCTTTGTGACTGCCGCTTGCCTGCATGACGAGTGCGAGGACCTGCGGCCTTGTCTTCTCGAACTGAGAGATCGTGCCTACAAAAAAGGAGCGGAAGACCTTTGGCCATAGCACATTGAGTCGGTATGTGATCCCACATATGAAGGAGTGTGGGTCGTTGGACGCGACCTTCTCCAGCTGCAAGTCCTCACCCGGTGCAGCTGCCGACAGCGCAGTGACAGAACAGATGCCCAATATGTGTCTCAATCCCTCCTTCCAGATGGATGCTCACTTTCTCCCAGCAATGGAAGCAGGTCAGCGTGTCCCAGTTCCATGGCTATGCTGTACGGGTCCAACCGATAACTCTGGAGCAGGCAGACATAAACGCATGATCGAGAAACCTTTTCTTGCTCCTTTTGTTGTTGGCGCACCTCTGCGTCCTGTGGGAAGGCGTTCAACGCCGTCAACAGCTGAAACAAGACAGAAAGGGATGCCCCATTTATTGTCAGCCGGCATATACCCGTCTAGGCAGCCACCTTGGTGACAGCGATGGTTCCACCGAGGCAGGCCCGCTGCAGCGCCTGAAGCCCGTACTGATCAATGACATGGAAGGCCGCGCTGTCGTGGGTGAGGAAGACATTGACGCACTCGGCGTGGTTCTGGCTGATAGCACACGACAGGGGGATGTTCTTGTCGTTGTCCTGGACGTCCACACTTGCACCAGCATCCAACAACGCCTGCACACATCCACGACAGGACGCACGTACGATCCAGTGACGTCTACTGCTTCGACTCAGCGACCGACCTGGCAGGCCTTGGCGCGTCCCTTGTATGCCGCTCTGTGTAAAGCCGTCTGCCCCCTTTCATTGATGGCATTGACCTGGCAGAGCGGCTTGGCCTTGATGGCCGCCACCACACTGGCAGCACTGCCCCGAGACGAGTGAGAACTCGACGCAGAGGAGCGGCTGCCCGGGCGAGGCTGGCGGCTGGGGGAACGGCCGGGGGAAAGCGGCGATACGGGACTCGTCTGCAGCAGCATCTGCACAACCTCTGTGTCACCACTGTATGGATGATCGGCACAGACAGACAGACAGACAGACACACGCCCAGTGGTAAGCTGTCGTATGAATTGCTTTGCTGGGTTACATTTCTGCAGCTGCGTGTAGGGGTGTGTTTCTGAGATGGCCAGCAACATTAGGGTTGCAGCTGTGGCAAAGTAGCCGCTCCACCAGTGGCGCTGACCGCCGCCTCACGGCCAGATGAAGGGCCGTCTCGTCCATCTGAAATGTACCCCTTCATCCAGCCAGCTTATCTGCGCCTATGTTGCGTGCGGAAGTATGTGCATACGTACTTTTGTTCGGGCGTTCTTGACATTGAATGATGCGTTGAGGAGCAGCAACTCAGCCACCTCCCTCTGCCCATGCAGCACCGCCGAGTGCAAAGGTGTGCGGCCACCATTGTCCGTCAGATCCAGCTTGGCGCCGTGCTCCAGCAGCGTCGCCGCCACATCCAGCTCGCCCAGCTCCGCTGCGAAATGGAGGGGCGTGCGGCCCTTGGGGTCACGCATCTCGATCTTCGCGTAACCTCTGCATGGACAAGCAAAGTGAGCAGGAGACACGTGGTTGCGGTGGTAATGAGGCTGGTTGCCTGATGAGTGTGAAGCAAGTCTTGACATTTGCCTTGAAGGTTGCGTGGTGCAGCGGCGCCATCCCCTCTGCATCCGGTGTGTCCAGGAAGGCCGAACCCCCATGCTCCAGCAACAGATCGAGACACGCCAACCTCTGTCAGTCACACAAACCATCACCTCAGTGTCGGTAGCTTCAGGCAGCCACTACCTCGGTCGAACAGGCGATGTGGATTGGCGTGTATCCATTGAGTCTGACATTAATGGAGGCATTGGCATGGAGCAGTGTCCGCAGGACGTTCACATTGCCCCTCTCGATCGCGAGGATGAGCGCCGTCGCCCCGCGGTGATCCTTCGCCTCCAGGTTCGCTCCGCCCTCTATCAGGTGGTTGACCACTCGCGAGCTGCCCTCAAGCACGCCAAGATGGAGCGCGGTGCGCCCACGCTTTACATAGACACATATAGTCACGAGCATATACACTGAAGGAAGATGGTCATTTCTTTGTCACCTGGTCCCTTGCTTCCAGGTCAGCTTTGAGTTCGAGCAGTGCCCGGCAGGTCTCGATCTGCCCGGCGGCCGTCGCCAGGTGCAAAGCCGTCTTCTCTGATGGATGGTCAAAGAGACATATGTCACTGACACCAATCGGTAGGTATGTGCACATACTTTCCTTGTCCTGTGCATTGACGTCTGTTCCGAGCCGCTGCAGCTCGATGATGATGTCTCGGTGGCCACACGACGCCTAACACACAAAAATGACAAACGGGAAGTCCTGTACATGTGCCTGTCTCACTGCAGACATTCAGACATACCGCCCAGTGCAGTGCCGTTCTCCCATATCTGTCGAGTGACGTCACATCTGCGCCCTGCTTGACCAGACTGTCAGATTACACACAGACACACAGAGCACGGGAGCGCCACTTGCTCGTCGTCCATGCATCTCACAGCAGTATCTGTGGCAGCAGCCCAACCCCAGCCAAATCATGCCTGCAGACAACACAACCACCAGAGACCAATGCCGACATCCTCTCTGTGTCTTACAGGGCGCTTGTCGCAGCTTCCTCCTTGGCCCCCTCTCTCGCCTTGGTATCTGCCTGCACAACACACGAGAGAACTGCTGCCAGACACTCACTGGCTGTTGGTTGGTCAGTCACCTTGAAGACAACACCGAGGAACTTCGCCAGCGGTGACGGGGCTGCAGATCCGTCGCTGCCCTTGTCCTGGGGTGCGCCCTCATCGGCCTGCTTGCCCTCCTCATCTCCAACACCAACATCGCCTTCCTTGCCAGCCCCGGGCCGTATGTCAGAGAAGAAAACACTCAGCCGCGCCTTTGCAGTGGCGGCTGTCTTGTCGCCCTTGAGAGGGATGAACAGCTCGGACCTCTCTCCTTCCACCGGGGTCGCCATCAGCACCCACGGTGCGAGCTTAGTACGCAGGAGTCGCGATCTTCGCTTCTTTAAAGAGGATCTGTCAGTCATTAGTGGTTGGTCGTTGTAGAGAGGCATGCTCGCCCGCGGCGTGTCGGCGTGCGTGAGAAAGATCAGCCCCGGGGCCTCCTCGCTGCTGCTGAGCGGCGGGAGGGCAACACAGAGCAGCGCCCCGCCCCTACCACACGCCCATCGCACATACAACTACTGGTCAGCATTTTGATGTCACATCGATGCTGCTGTCACATCTTCATTTCTATGTGTGTGTGTGTGGTTGTGTGTTGGTGCATCCATTCTCATTCAGGGCGAACCAGAAGTTGACCAGGTATGACAACACGGAGACTAAGGCGTGGAAGGAGCAGTTCGCAAACCTCGGCAAATACACTGATGACGGTAAAGAGAAGGTGGGGTGGATAGATGCACACACACGGCACGAGTGTGTTGTGTTCGGCCTGTCCGTGTTGCTTTCAGAGTTGACGGCGTGGCGCAATGCATTTGATCAGGTTTGTGTGCTGAATGAATGCACACCGGGACGGGATCATGCCTGTCCGTGTGTGATTGGTTCGCTCATTCATTCATCCATCCCTCCGTCAGTTCGACCCCGATCACGACGGCTACATCAGCCAGGCGGACCTGCAGAAGTTCCCCACCTTCACTGTCGAAAAGGCGCATCTCATCAAAGGTGGGCCGGGCCACACAGACAGGCCGGGCCACACAGACAAAGGAACAAACAAAGAGGCAGCCATGTGCTGCATACATGATTGTGCATGCGTCGTGCAGACTACGATCGGGACCGAAACAATCTGATCGGTACTCACGGACGCCCCCGGCAGCCATCGACACGAGCAGTCCCTCCATTTGCCGGATGTGTGTGCAGATTTTGGCGAGTTTGTGGACGCCATGTTTGCGGTAGACGTGCAGAGCCTCAAGCTCGACTTCAGCGGATTCGACAGCGTCGACATACAGCTGGAGTTCGACAAATACGCCGTGCAGGTAGGTGCTCATCGATGAGCGGCGACGAATGCATTCATTATGGCGCGTGAGTGCATGGATTCTTCAATCAGGATTTGGACAGCGGTGGCCGCAAGCACATATCGCTGGATGGCGTCAAGAGCCTGATGAACGAGAAGGAGTTCACCGTGGTGACCGACAGCGATGCCCACCAGCTCATGGCCAATATGGACGTCTCCAAGGACGGTGTTATCGACATTGACGACTTCAAAAACGTAACTAGTTGACAGCAAGGCACAGAGGAAAGAGAGATGAGCATCGCACCCTCTCTACCCTCTGTGTGTGTGTTGTGTGTGCAGTGGATCACGGCCAAGGCATGACAGAGGGGGATGAGCAGCAGAGCAGAGCACCCAGCTAGATGAAGGGCCGTACAGGTCACAGTACACCAGCCACTCGCTTGCTGAGTAGGGAGGGATGGGGAACGCGAGAGGAAGAGTGCGATTCTCGTGTGTCGGAGCGCTCACCGTGTATGTGTGTTTGTATGTTGCTGACTCTATAGCGAGGGAGGGCCAGATGGATAGAGAGAGAAGACGCGATCCTTCGGCTGCGGTTGTGATGTGGTGTGTCTTGTACGAGCCTGTCCTGTCTGGCTGTGTGGTGCCTGTCATACGCCGTGTCGTTAGCTGTACAGTACGTACCTCACTGACTGCTCACGCACTTACTTTCATGTGTGGATGGATGCCGTGTGCTCTGTAGCTGGCGACGGGGATTCTCTCTGTGCTGCATGTAATGCCATTCAATTCACGAAATTTGTGGCACCGAACCCTTGACCCCACAAACCCAGAGGTTTGGTAACCATCGCAGGTGTCATCCTTTCTGTTGATGGATTTGAGGCACTGGATCTGAGTCTGTGTCAACCGGATATCAAGAGAACGATCGAAGATTAGCTCAACAGGGTCATTCGATCAGACAGAGAACGACTCACGTCATATCGTGATTCGGCGTTTATATGGGCTTCAGAGCTTCAGTGGCTGAAATCATCAAGCAGGTGCGAGGGGGGAGCTTCACATAGGCACAGAGGGAGGCGACAAGCATCGATGGGTATCTCACATCTGGGTGTGTGTCTTGTGGCCGTTCCTGTGCAGATGAACGCTTGTTGAGGCCGCAACACCCCCCAGAACAAAAAGCGTCGGTTTTCCCCTCACCTCTCTGCTCACATTGGGATCTTCGGTGCATTCACTCCCGCAGCGATGGGCAACCGTGTTGGGGTTGACCTGGGTGGCTACATGGCCACCGTAGCAGTCGTCATCGACCCGCAGACCCCTGCAGGCGAAGACAGCCGCAGCGGCCCTTCACGCTCGTCCACCTTCTCACAGCCAGATGACGAATCGCCCACTCACGCCACGCAGGATGGCGTCCCCCTTCCCCTTGTGGACAGCTTCGTGTCGCCCGAGTACGGCGAGTTCCGCTTCTTTGATTTCCTGATCAACGAGGCGGAGTCGTTCAGGGCGACCGAGAGGGGTCGGTACTTCTGCGAGGAAATTGTCAAGGCGAGGGGGGTGGCTGCGTGCACGGGAGCTGGGGCTGTCAAGTGGAAGAGGGAGATCGAGGCCATGTGGGACGTCAAAGTGGATGTTCACAGGGAGATTCCGTGCATACTCGCAGGTGGGCTATGGGAATCGTGTGTGTAGGGAGGAAACCATCCATCGCCGACCGCTGCTTTTGTTCTCCTGTTACAGGAATTGACCTGGTTCTGGGTTGCGTCCCTGACGCGTGCTTCCGTTTCGTCCACAGACCGACGGGAGGCAGCCCCCTCGAACAGTCCATCCCCTCCTCGCCAGAGGGCGGCGCGTCCCCAGGGAGCAGTCCCCCACGCCGCCAGCACGTGCTTCAAGTCATCACACCGAAAGATGCCGAACCAGGCGCTCAGCCATCGTCACCCCCCCGCCAGTCTTCGCATCTCTTGCACCCGACCGCCGAGCGGCCGGAGCAGCGGCCGTCAGCACTGGGTGTTCGACGAGCCAGCCTGCACACGCCCATCGTGCCGCCCTCTCGATCGGAGAGGGTCACCCCATTGTCTTCGCCCCTCCCGCCCATCCCCATCAGTGAGGCGCGGCTGCTCAACCAGGCCAGGAGGGGCCGGGGGCTGCTGCACAAGGGGCACGAGAAGAGGAGAAGACGGTCGTCGGCACCGGCGAACGCCTACCTCAGCGAGCCGGACCGACGGTCGTCAGGCGACGATGAATCGCTGCCTTCCCCGATGCTGCCTCCGCTGGCGGAAGGCGCGCAGCCTACCTCTTCCCCGAGGCCTGCTCCCTCTCCCTCTGCGTGTGTGCGGCATTCCTCCCCGCCCACAGGGGCCAGGTCGACGAAGCGGCGGCCGTCGACTACAGCGTCAATCTACTTCCAGGAGTTCCTGCAGCCGGAACAGCTGCGCAATGGCATCGGCAACGGCGGCAGCAACAGGGGTTTTTATCCGTTCCTGTTGGTCAACTTCAAGGCGGGTGTGTCGTTCCACTTCGTCAAGGCGCCCAACGAGAGCTATCGTATCGGTGGGTCCACACTGGGAGGCGGCACGCTCATGGGGCTCAACAGGATGCTCAACGAGGAGGTGAAGCGGCCCGAGGAAGCTGTGCTCAAGGCAAGCGAAGGTGAGATGGAATGGCCAGACTGTGAGGGACGCACCACCGAATGTCGATCGATGTCAGGTGACAACTCCAATGTCGACATGCTGGTGGGTGACATATACGGCGGTGACTACGACGCCATCTCCCTCCCAAAGGACCTCATCGCCTCGTCGTTCGGCAAGTGTCAGCGGCTCTCACATCCCCACATAGTGCCCGGCACACAGTCGACCGATCGCTTCATGGAGGCGGAGGGCCTGTCGGGCAGTGAGGCAGAGGACGAGGAACAACCTGTCGGTGAGAACGACATCTCTCGCGCCCTTCTGACCATGGTACGGTGCGCTAGCTCATCAAAGGAGCACTCACTCTCTACGACTCTACGTGGGTATGTGGGTGTAGGTGGCTTTCAATGTGACGCAGCTGGCGTACTTCAACTCGGTGATCTACCAGTGCGACCGTCTGGTGTTTGTGGGTTACTACTTCAAGGATTTCGAGTTCTTGGCGGCGCTGCAGCACTCCCTCTCCTACTGGAGCGACAACACCAAGGAGGCCATCTTCTTCAAACAAGCGCACTGGCTGGGGGCCATCGGCGCCATGGTCAAGGGCTGCAGGGGCCAGCGCACCAAGGAATGGAGCAAAGAGGAGCTGGAGACGGTCGCTGCAGCCATGGCGAATACTATTGAGGGCTTTCCAACCATCCCTCGGCAACATGACGAGGACAGCAGAGAGGGTGAGGGCTTGTAGGGGGCAGGGCGTGTGTTTGTGAATCAGCGAGGCGTGCTGTTTTCTAAGCGATCAGAGGGATGAGATGAGATGAGCACGTTTATATGATGGAGTGGCGTGATGCTCGCCTGACCCCGATTGTGATTCCTCTCAACGTGTATGTATTGTGTCCATTAGAAAGTGGCGAGCCGAAATCTTCTGCTGCTCCGACCTACCAGGACATGATCCAGGTGCACAACACACAACATTGGGAGCCAAATCGCACACACATCCATCTGTGTCATTGTGTCTGTACATGCAGACGGGCACTTTGCGTGTCCCTGGCGGTGTGCTCCATTTCCATCAGTCAGCTGAGTGGGGCGGGGGGAGCGGCGGCCGCCTGTGGGAGGCCGGGATCGCCCTCGCACTCTTCTTCGCACACGGAGGTACGGTGACACACAAACGTGACACATCGAGTGGATGCGCCACGCAAGCTGCGCATCGTTGCGGTCAGGTGTGCCCCTGGATCACTGGAAGGGCCGCAATGTGCTGGAGCTGGGATGTGGAAGCGGCACAGTGGGTCTCACTGTGGCGATGCTGGGCGCAAACGGTACTCTCACCGCCTCGGAAGGCATGGCTTTGTGCCCGTGGCATGCCATCCGTTGCTTCGTGTGTGCTGCTGTGTGTGCAGTGACGTGTACGGATGTGCCAGAGGTTCGTCCAGTGTTTGAAGCCAGCTGTGAAGCCAATGCACAGGTGCCTCGACACCGAAAGCAGAGCCATGCTCGCATGCATCGCTCGTCACTCGCTCTCCTTTGATGTGTGTGTGGTTCGTTCAGGTTCTTGCGTGCAGCGGGGCAGGATCGATCGTATTCCAGCCGCTCGACTGGTACGCAACATGCACATGGACACACACGCACGCATGTGCCTGCATGTGTGTTCATGTCCTCATGTAAACAGGCACGATGCGGCCGCTCTCCCAGACAGTCACCGCAGCATCAACACGATCGTGGCATCCGACGTGGTCTTTAATCTCAAGCAGGCGGAGGCCTTCACGGCGTGCATCGGGCGGCTCATGTCGGCCGCTGCCGGCGACGGCGAGTCCATCGATGTGTGGATCGCCCACAAGCACCGACATGATGACGTACGGCAACCACACGATTGCAATGCGACCATCCATCCACTGACTGTTCATGTGTGGCGGGCTTGTCCGTGTGTGTGTCCGTGTGTCAGGTTGACGCTGCGTTTGTGAGTGCTTTGGAGGGCATAGGGCTTGAGGGCGAGGAGATGGAGGTGTCGGGTGTGCTGCCGCCTACCTTGATACACCCGAGACTATCCATTTGGAGACTCGCCAAGCAGAGATCAGCCAGTGCAGAGAAGAGGGGAGAGAGGAAATAGGCTACTGGCTGTCGCAGGGATTGCATTGATGAGTGCGATACCACACACGACACGCATGCATCGAGTGAATGAATCTCAATTGTGTCTCTTCCCGCAACAGAGTCAGGCCATCAATCACCCCTCAGCAGCCACCAATTGCCTTGTGAGCTCTGCAAACATCTCGTGTATGCCCCTCCCTGTGGACGCGGACGTCTCGAAGAACAGAAACCCCTTAGAAGACGCCCATTGTCTGCCCTCCAGCTCCCCCACTGCCCTTGACCGCATGTCGCTCTTGTTGCCGCACACCACATAGACAACGTCCTTGCCGCCACACTTAAGCGCTTCCCTCAGCCACAGATCAAGGTTGGTGCTGATGCACACAGGAAAGAACACGTCTAGATATCGGGAGTCCGTTCGTTGTCTGTCGTCGGTTCAAATCCGCTTACAAGGACTTGCGTGAGGTGATGTCATACATTAGAATCCCCCCGTGGGCGTCCTTGTAGAACTCATTCCTCACGTCGAGGAACTCCTCATGGCCAGAGAGGTCCCACAGATTGAGCCGCAGGTCCATGTCCGCAAAGTGGGTCATCGAACTCACTTGGAAGTCGATTCCCACGGTGGCGTTGTATGTGGGCGAGAACTGCCCAGTGCAGTAGCGCGAGATGACGGAGGTCTTGCCGACGTAGGCGTCGCCGAACACGATGACTTTCACACGTGATACCTCGCGGACGAGGGGCTTCACACGCCGACGCTCCACCGATGGGCCCATCGTGTGCAATGTCGCGAGAAGGACGGGGAAATTGCACTGGCAGTTCTCGTGGGGGCTGGATGGGGGCGTAGATGTTTTGTCTCAACCGCCGTCGTGTCCCTTCCGTCCCAGTCCACAAATATGTCTCAAGGTCCATACAAGCAAGACTTACTCTCTCTACTCACCGAAACCCATCGACTCGACACTCATGGAACAGTGTATGTCCCCGGCAATGCCGTGCACTCAGTCTGCTGCATGTCTGTTGAGTGTCTCTGTGAATGTGTGACGCCTAGGTGCAGTAGTTGGGCTTCTTGGACTTGTAGGCTTGCACCTTACCGCCTTGCCCAGCTGGACCGAAGAAACCGCCCTCCTCCGGCTGCACATATGCACAGGGAGATGATGGATGTGAGTACACAGGCATGCATACGTGTTTGTAAGTAGACAGACAGACAGGCAGGCAGGCAGGCGGACAGTAAGTCACGCAGCAATCCTCACCGTGCATCGGCCGCCCCGGCAGAAGCAGTAGTAACCTGGTCGCAGACAGACAGACATCAACCAAGAAAAAAACCGCTGCATCTGCATGTGTCACGTGCACCCTCGACTAACGCACCCGGCGCGGCCTTCCCACACAGATTCCCACCCGCTGCAGGCATGACCAACGCACGCATATCGACAACGAATGTGTGTATGGTATGCAGCGCAAACTAGATACATATTGACGGTTGAGAGCGTCTTCCTACCACTCTGCCATTGACATTCTCCGGGGTTGAAGTCAACACCCTCGAGCTGTGCGGACCCGCAGTAACAGCCTTACACAAGCAGACACACAGACACACACACACACAGACACACAGACACACAGACACACACACACACACACACAGAGAGAGAGAGAGAGAGAGTTGTGAAAATAACGAAAAGGATAGTGTCTGGTCTACGCACTTACTGCGCACTTACTGGGGAAGCGCGGGGTGTCTGAGATGCGTGTGTGACTGAGTTCAGCGCGGCTGAGACGGAGGAAGCTGGCAGGCGTGCCGAGAGGATTCATGTCTGAAAACACACACATATACCATCGACTCGAGAAACGCTAGCACTATACCGTTTTTCTGGAGGGCCGACTCGAAGACGCTGAGGGAAAGAGGCACACAACAAGCCAGATACATGCATGTTGAAAACGCTCGGAGGCCTGCACTACGATGCTCCCCGCTCACAAATTGTAGGTGGTGTAAGGACTCACTTTGATGACTGGACACACACACACCGGTTGAGCCGACATAGACCGGCATAGACCAGGTTGCCCGACGATGAGAGCTTCTTCATGCCGGCAGGGCTGAGCTTCATCTCGCACTTGTCTTCTTTGCATGTGGTCTTGCCGTCCTTGCATGAGAAGCTTATCTCATAAGGGGCCATGTCGCCCATGGTCTTGAGCATCGCGAGCAGCCCTGCGTGTGCCTTGGTTTTCCCCCAGCTGTTACAGATGGAGATGGATACTTCCTTGGCCCTCTGCTTGCCCGTCAACGTCTCTTCGATCAGCTCACTGCCATCGAATAGACAAGGAGCACGTGTTTGGTGTCTGTGTGCTCATGGTGTCTTGCCGACCGCGCAGCCGTTTGAATCGGGTTGGCATACTCCTGACGTGACGCAGATGAGAGCAGGTACGCACAGACACATGACCGCTCAATCTTCCCTCCTATGGCTCCATGTCATCGCTCACTGACATGGCTGTCGACCATGCCGCCTGCACACAAAACACAGACCTCTAGGTGTACTCGTGTCTTATTGATGGTGGTTGCCACTTGTTGGTCCGCCCACCTGGCAGAGCCCAGTCGCCGCTGTCAGCCCGCTTGATCAGCAGAACCTGCACACACAGGCAAGAGAAGCCAGCAAGCGCATCTGCATCCCAGCATTCCTTCCCTCTATGTCTCATTGCTGACGCTGACCTCAAGTGCCATGTCCTTCGGGTTTCTCCGGAAGAGCTGCATTCATGTATCGATCGACCCGCTCGCATGAATGAGTGTGATTGAAGCTCACGCATATCCCATGTCCTTCACTCTGCTTGCTCACCATGGCGTCGGCCGCGAAATTCGGGCCCCACTTGCCTGTTCAGGCGAATAACAGAAAGCCACGAGCATCAGGCGCCCTCCGGTCCTGTCTTGTGTGTCGTTGATTTGATGCATGACTCACCGAGGCCGCCGCGGCCAATCACACCAGTGCAATGGCGAGGATTCACCTGAAACAGAGCGGAGACAGACACACGAAGCACCCTGTGCGTGTGTCTCGTCTTAGTCGGTCAGCTACCGGGTATCCGACGGGGAAATCGACGCTCTTGATGTCGAGACCCACTCCTGGGGGCCAAAGGCGGCCCTTCAGGGTGAAGTCAGGCGCCAGCCCGGCGATTGTCTGCAGACAACAACACACACGACCAAGTTGGTCTGCATTATCCCATCATAAGGCCACGGCAAATAAAAAAAACAAGGCTTTCCGGCCGCTGGCTTTGTCCAACTCCATTGGCGTGGTCTCCGTGAAGTTGTACAGCGATGTGCATGGCTTGACATCCGGCGGCGCGTGGGGGCCACTTCCAACAGGGGTGAAGGTCACGCGACGCAGGGCCTCGCCCTTGCTGTTCTTCAGGTGTTCGTCGGGGTTTTTACCCGAGAAGACGTGCAGCAGCTGGTCCTTGGCCACAACGTCATTGACCGATGCATCGCAGTAAGAGGGTGGATGACCGAGCCACGCCATGACCTGGCACTGGTCGTAGTAGCTGCATACATGATCCACACACACACACACACACACAACATGCTTGCAGGATGTGAGCGATTGTGTGGCCGGCTGGCTTACATTGGCTTAGTGGGGTCGGGGGCGGGGAATGTGCCGAGCTTTTGGCCTCTTTCCTTTGCTTTGGGAGCCACCTTGTCCTTCATCAATGCGTCGAATCTCTTCTCTCTCTGGTTCAGCTGGTCCTTCGTCTTTACCCCCGTCATTACCTGTCATGGACAACAAGCATTGCAAGTGGGACAAAGGTGAGTCGAATTGTGTGCGACATAGTGTGACAGCACCTTCCAGAAGCCCGTGTACACGAGTCCGGCCTGTTGGCCCTCCTTCAGTCCCGGAGGCATGTCATGATCTCGATGTGATGTCGACGTGCCAGTGTGCGTGTGGTGTCGGTGTTTGGGGCGGATAACTGCGATTAGAGTGCTCGAGCGAACAGGAGAGATAATACACGTAACCGCGGTGAACAGCGCCACAAGCAGGGATGTGCGACGCAGCATTGTGAAACGGGATGCGGCGAATCGATTGCTGGTTCGGGTCCAAGGCGGCAGGGGGTCTCAGGAAAGGACGGCAGGGACAATTGCAATGTTGGGATGATGCGGGATGCTGTGGGATGTGTAGCCGAGCGAGACGCCCCCACGTGCAGATCTGCGGCTAGGAAAACGGCGGCATGACTCGCAAGATGGGTGTGTTTGGTCTCACCCTTTGTTTTGTTGTCCACATCGCCGGTAAGCCGTCGTCAGACCTCATCGATGTGTGGATGGATGCATCCCCCCTACTTGTGCGGTGCAGTGGCAGTTGACACGGAGTCTCTCGTCACGGACGAAGGCGCTGGCGTTTTCATCGAACAAGGTGGATGGGTGGGCAGGGAGGAAGATCTGTGTCTGCAATGGGCATGGATGGACGCATCCGATGGATTGGTTGCAGGTGCATCTTCCATGGTAGAGTTGTCGCTGATGCAGGAGCAGCTGAGGGCCTGATGCAGTCGCAATTTGCCGTGCAGGAATCCACCATCGCCGTGCAGGAGGCCGCACTCAACGCGACTGGCTCCCCCTGTATGGCTGCTCGGGCGGTAGTAGGCAGCCTCTCCGCACAAGGCAAACTTTAACCGCTTTGAGTGAAGGGTCAAATCGGGTGTATATACCAGGGGTCCATTCGACAAAGTCGAGAATCTCGACGTGCAGGCCCCCAAATGGCAGTTGACCCACATACATAAAACTGCAGAGAAGCAGCCCACCCAGATGATCAAAAGCAAATGTGAACCGCCCATGTGAGAGCCTCTCACACACCAAGCAGCAGCTCCTCGCTCGGTCACGTTCATTCACAATGGGCACCCTTCTAACAGCGCTCCGTTCTCAGCAACAAAAGCAGCTGTGACCATCGCGCTGAGCGCATCTGAACGCTCACTCAAGGGACTGTCAATTCATTTCAAACATCATCAACTCACTCACTCTGGTTCGTGAGATATGATTCACTCAATTCTGTCTGACCAATGAGTCAGTACATTCATACAGACAATCATTCGCGCTACTAGACCAATCAGATGAGCCTTTGATTGGCACACCTATTCGCGTTAACGTTTGCTACAGCTTTCTCACAGTTCTCCCTGAACTGCTGTCCCTTAAACGGGCCAGTAATAAGAAGAACGTCAGGCAGCGGTCTATCGTACTCGTCCGCAGGTATCATCCGTGTCTAGATCTCACTTTGCTGTCATAGCTGAGAACGGCACGCCTTGACGTTGTCACCCCCTCCCTTCATCGTGTGATTCTCCTCTATTACATGCGCCTCTCGATTCATCGACTCATGGGCCTGCATACATCCCAACAGACCGAAAACTGGGTCTCCCTTGACAAGTGAGACAGCGAGATGAAACAACACGTTGCACTCCAGCAAATGCATGGACGATTTGTATATGTCCAGCCATTTCAACCTGCAATCGCGAAAAAGCACGTTCATGGACCGAGACACTGAAATTCATCCGTTCACATCTCTCCGCCTACATCGTCAATCTCACAATCTTCATCTGCCAGACGTCTTCGCGGAAAGCCTCCAGCTCTGCCTTGGTTGATACCGTCGTCCTCAAGCAGAACTGGAATGACATGAAGAAACACCAGGCCCGTCTCTGCATCCTGTGGGGACTCATGTCTCCGTTTGCCCCGACCAGTTGGCACAGCAGCAGCAGGAGCAGCGGCAGCGGCCGGCTGAGGCTGAGGCTGAGGCGGAGCATCAAGCATTTGGTCGGTTGTGTCGGGCTGAATGTTGGACAAGAGACACTGGTGGCTTTATGCTTTCGGGAA